AAGAGACACAGTGAGGGGAAGTCAGTGTGAGCCCAGACACTAACCTCCCTGAGGAGACAGCAGGGCTGGGCTGCAGGGAGCATCCAGGACCCCAGGGGGCGCTCAGGACCAGCAAACCCAGGTCCCAGCTCAGAGGCTGACCCTGGAGGGTTGTGCAGGCTTCCTATGGGGTCAATGCTTTCTTCCCTCCTAGTTTCCCTGGGGCAGTTCCTCTTCCTTCTTTGTGTCTTTAATTAGATTCTCTGCAGGAAAAAAGCAGGAAGTTGCTGTGTGTCAGATCTGGTGGACTTCTTATCTGGTCCTTCCTGTCACCATGTCCCTGATGGTCGTTCTCTGGGTTAACAAGGAAAACATTGTAGAGATTCCTGTCCCCTCACTGAGAGCGACATCCCCCACCCTCCACGCAGTGCTGAGCAGGGAACACGGAGTCCAGGCCCCAAACCTCACCTGAGGGTGATCAGCCGCTCACTCTGCCCCAGGAGGAGCCCTTTAGGGGCAGTTAGGCGCTTGCCTCTCACTGACATGGCTGCACATGAATGTGTAGGGTTGGACCCTGCAGGCACTGCCTCACTGTGAGCCTCGAAATGGACCCAGCTGCCAGAGTGTCCCGTGATGGAGGCAGAAAGGAGGCCCAGTGACGGGCCCTATTCCCAGTGGGTCTCAGAACCTGGTCCCGGGGGTTGTGTCCCAACTCCTCTCCTGCTTCCCCTGGAGATTCCACCTGCATCCTGAGAACCTGCTGAAGGGAGACATGGTCCCACCCATCTCTTCTGTGCCTCCAGCTCTGCAGACACCTCCCCATCCTCACTCTCTGTCCTCTGCCGCCCACACTCTCACCCCATGGGGCCTGCACAGGACGTCCCGTGTGGATGTGTCTGTCCTCTCCTTCCTGCCCTGGTATGTTTTGACTTAAATGCACCCCCACGCCATCCTTTCATGCCCATCCCCTGTGCCAGGCCTTCTTTTAGGCGACAGGCACAGGGCCACTCAGCCATCCTGCTGAGCCCACATGCAGTGCCCACATGTGATGTCAGACCATGGGGGCTCCTCCTGTGTCTGTGGTGACACAGCTGAGCACTGAGCTCAGAGCACCTCCAAGATCTCACACCTGTGCTGAGGGAAAGTCCAGGGGCCCGTGAGCTGCAGAGCATCATGGTGGATAAGCACATGGCCACTGGGGGCAGAGGTCAGTCAGGGAAGGACTGGGGCCTGGTTACCTATGATGTTGCCAATGTCCCGCTGACCAGAGCCCAGGTGTAAAGGGAGCTCCATGAATCCTAAAAGTGCTGGAACAGCCCAGCCAGCATGGCTCAGAGGTTGAACATTGAACTATTAACCAGGAGGTCACATTTATTCCTGGTCAGGGCACATGTCCCAGTTGCCGACTATTTCTTCAGTGTGGGCCATGCAGGAGGCAGCCAATCAATTATTCTCTCTTATCATTGATGCTTCTCTCTCTCTTCCTCTCTATTCCTCTGTGATATCAATTAAGAAATATTTAAACAAATAAATGAGAATGTTGCTGGTTTGATTCACAGTATGGGGATATATGGAAGGAAACTGATCAACACTTCTCTCTCATATCAATGTTTCTTTCTCTCCTTTTCTTTCCATATAAAAAATAATGAACATATACTTAGGTGAGGACAAAGAAAAAAGTATCTATATCTATACCTATGTATACATCCACAAACACATCTACATCTACATCTCTATCTCTACATTTGTATCTCTCTATCTCTATCTATATCTATATATCTCTGGAACAAGAGGCACACTGATGTTATCCTGAAGGAGTCACTGACTGTTCCCACATCCTACTTCCTGACCACCTCCTGCAGCATAGCCCCTGCTGTGGAAGAAGAGGTCCCTGGGCACAGTGACCAGGACCCCAAGGAGGGCCTGGTTCTCTGAGGGCACAGACAGCACCTCCTTCCAGGAGAAGCCCCAGAGACCAGGACCTCCCTCACCTCTTGCCCTTTGTATGTGCAGACACCGCCCATATGCAAATGCCCACACGGCCACAAGACACACACACAGTTGGTGTCCACTTAAATGCAGGGCCTCCTCACCCTAGAGAATACTTTCTGGGGGACGAGGACCTCACCTGCAAGACATGACTCCCATGTGGCTCTTCCTCTTCCTGCTGTCAGCTCCCAGATGTGAGTGACTCAGGGCTTAGATGTGAGGAGATGGGGACCCTGCATCTGAGCCCAGGACTCACTGTGTTCTCTCTGTCCCAGGTGTCCTGTCCCAGGTGCAACTGCAGGAGTCAGGCCCAGGACTGGTGAAGCCCTCGCAGACCCTCTCCCTCACCTGCACTGTGTCTGGATTCTCCATCACTACCAGTGGTTATGCCTGGAGCTGGATACGTCATCCCCCAGGGAAGGGGCTGAAGTGGATGGGGAATATCTGGGATAATGGAGACACTTACTACAGCCCGTCCCTCAAGAGCCGAACCTCCATCTCCAGAGACACGTCCAAGAACCAGTTCTCCCTTCAGCTGAGCTCCATGACCACCGACGACTCCGCTGTGTATTACTGTACGAGACACAGTGAGGGGAAGTCAGTGTGAGCCCAGACACAAACCTCCCTGAGGAGACAGCAGGGCTGGGCTGCAGGAAACATACTTTACCAGCCTGGGGCACTGAGGACCAGCACAAGGTCCTGACCAGGAGCAGGTGGAGAGTTGAGCAAAGATACCATTTCCTGCTCCGTCTTAAATTAGTTTTGCTCCCAGGCTCAGCCACAGAGCTCACAGAAAGCCCTTTCTAGGTCTAGTTTTAGGGATTATATTTGTGAACAAAAAGGGGGCTCTGTCCTAAATCTGACAAAACTCAGTGACTGACGGGACCCTCACAGGAGGCTCTGATCACACATCCTACCTGGGCAGTCCTGGGTGTGGGCACGCCCTAGGCCTATGACTTCTTTACTCAAAGGCTCATCTTTGCCTTAAGCACCCGTCCATTGTTCCTGTGCATCTGGGAAACACACCTTTGACATCAGCATGACCACCCTCAGGAGAGCACGTCTTGGCCATCTGTGTGTCCACTTTGGAGACTTACCTATGAGGCCCTTTGCCCATTTTTCAATTGTGTTCTTGTCTTACTTTTGTTAAGTTGTTTGAGTTGCTATGAATTTTGGAGATTAACCCCTTGTCGAACTTACCCCTGCTGTTGCAAATGATAAGAGTTCTTTCTTTTTCATGGCTGCATGGCATTCTATGGTGTAGATGTACCATGGATTTTTCATCCAATCGTATGCTGACGGGCACTTAGGCTGTTTCCAAAGCTTAGCTCTTGTAAATTGCAATGCGATGAGTGAAGGTGTGCATGAATTTTTTTCTGATGAGTGTTTTCGGTTTCTTAGGATAGATTTCTAGAAGTAGGATCACTTGGTCAAATGGGAGTTCCATTTTTAATTTTTTGTTTTTTTGTGTTTTTTTTAAATTAAATCCTTATTGTTCAGATTATTACAGTTGTTCCTCTTTTTTCCCTCCATAGCTCCCCTCCACCCAGTTCCCACCCCACCC